TCTTTTAGTTTTCTGTGCCATTTCTCTTTTTAAACCTATTTCCCTCCAGCCCGAGGGCTGAGTGATCCACCTGGCTGTCTCTCTGTCCTGCTCATGTTCTGATGAGGGGAGTCATGTTGCTAAATGCCAGCTCCTCTGAGCTGAACAAGTCACTTCCAGATTAGCATCCAAGCTCAAATGGATTCTTTCCCTGGGCAAAAACATATGTGGTGAGATAAAATCTTGACACAGCCCTCTTTGAGCTTTCCTTCTTTACCATCTCCTATACGACCCGGTCTTCTCCTAGTAGACACAGGCACCCAAGTTTTTTGGGAGATTAGGGTTGTCACAGCTATAATGCAAGGAGAAAGAAACCATTATCTATTCCTTTTATTATTTCCAAACAATGCTCTTGCAAATCAAAAGGGAAGTCCTTTTAATTATTTTAAACAAATCTGGAAAGCTAATAGAAGGAGAGACGGACCCCAAATGAAGGTCATTGGGCAGGCGGGTAGAAAGAGTGACGGGTAAAATAACCTACGCGTTCATTGAGAGCTCTCTGTGTGAACTGATCGGTAGGAGCTAACACAGACACACCTGCAGCACAGAGGTGAAGAGGTTTTTGTGGAAGACGAACCTGCATGAGTCTGTGAGGACCTACCTCTTTGACCTTGAGAAAACTACTTGAACTTTTCCTCAATTTTGTTTAAATTGTGGAATATAACAAACACAAATAGAAAAAAAAAATCTACCAGCATATAGCAAAATAAATACATTTAGAGTGAACACCTGTGTAGCCATCACCAAGGTTAAGAACTAGAACATTGGCAGCACTTCAGGACCCCCCAGAGTGTTCCCTCCCTGGGCACACTCCCTTCCCTGTCTCCTAAAAGTAACCACTGCTCTGAATTCATGGTAAACAGGTCCTTGTTTCTTCACAGCTTTACCACCCAGGTACGTGTCTCTACAATGTGGTTTGGTTTTGCCTGGTTTTGAACGTTACATTAATGGGCTCAAATTAAACATGCACTGTCTTCTCTCACTGGCTGGGCTACTGCCTTTAGCTTGATTTCATCAATTTTCATTGTTACACAGCAGTGCATTACATGAGTTAGTACCCACTATTTATCCGTTCTACTGTTTATGGATGTTTTTGTTGTTCCCAGACTTTTTACTACAAACAATGGACAAATGTACAACGACACACATCCATCCTTATAGTGTCATACAGAGTATTTCCCTCTGCACTCTGCCTGTCCATCCCTCGCTCCCCAAACCCCTGGCAACCACTGGTTTTTTTTACTGTCTCCATTGTTTTGCTTTTTCCAGAGTGTCATAGAGTTGGAATCCTACAGTTGGCAGCCTTTCAGGTTGACTTCTTTCATTTTGAAATATGCATTAAAGTTTACTCTATGTCTTGTCGCGGCTTGATAACTCTTTTTTCTTTTTCAGTGCTGAGTAATATTCCATTGTATATTTGGAGCACAGTTTGTTTATCCGTTTACCTATTGAAGGACATCTTGGTTACTTCCAACAATTGTGAGCAAAGCTGCTGTCAATATTTGCGCATAGGTTTTTGCGTGGTAGGTCGATTTTTTATATTTAAAGAGCCATTCATTACTTTACTCTCCACATTCTCATTTTATTATAGGCAACTTGGAGAAGCCAGGGGGCACCACTGCCTGGAAATTTCCTTAGCTGGAATATCAGTTCAGTGGGTACATTTTCTGTTTTACACGTTACTACAGGTGATAATGATGTTAAATGTCACATCCCTGCGTTTGGGAATCTTCTCTCTTCTAGCTTCTGGTAGCACCTTTCTCACATTCCTTCAAGTCTGTGCCAACAGGCTCCTCCTGGCCCTCTGGCTTCCACCAGCATCTGGTCTTGAAGCCAACACAACATCTTTTAGGTTTTTCTTACACCAACACCGGACTCCTGCTATCAAAACCCACTCCAGTTACCAACAGCTTCCTAAAAGACTACTTCACACTCAGTGGCTCAAAACAATGACTTATTTTGCTCGTGACTCTGGAGTCTGGTTGAGGTGGGTGAGGATGGCTCATCTTTGTTCCTATGGCATCAGCTGGGGCATTTCTTACTCCCTGCTAATAGAACTCCAAGCTCAATATGTTAGTCCTTTTCACCCTATCCTTCACGTCTCTTAACCTGTCTTTCTTTGTCTCTGTGCTGTATTCTGGATCATTTCTTTATATTCCACTTTACCAATTTTCCCTATTGTTTCTGGTCTCTATTTAAACCCATCTATTAAGGGTTTTTTTTCCCCACTTTTTCTCCCCAAATCCCCCCAGTACATAGTTGTATATTTTAGTTGTAGGTCCTTCTAGTTGTGGCATGTGGGATGCTACTTCAGCATGGCCTGACGAGAGGTGCCATGTCCACGCCCAGGATCCCAACCAGTGAAACCCCGGGCCACCGCAGCGGAGTGCGCCAACTTAACCACTCCGCTAAGGGGCCGGCCCCTAAGTTTTGAACTTCAGTTTGAACTCTTTTCTTTCAAAAATTTGTCTCAGTGCCATTAAAGTATAATTTGCAAACAGCAAAATGCATCTATTTTAAGTGAACAGTTTGGTGAATTTTGACAAATATATACATCTCTGTAACTATCGCCCCAATGAAAACGTGGAGCATATCCATCACCCCCAAAGGTTCCCTTATTTCCATTGTAGTCACTACCAGCCACCACTTCCCCCTTTCTCCCTCTGCAGGCCGCCTCTGATCTGGCTTCTGTCACTGTTTATTCGTTGTGCCTGCTCTAGAACGTCACATAAACAGTATCATGTAGTATGGACTCTTTCGTGTCTGGCTTCTTTGCTCCTTAATGTAATGATTTTAAGATTCATCCATGTTATTGTACCAGTAGGTGTTCTTTTTCATTGTACGAATACACTGCAGTTCATTTATTCATTTATCTATTGATCGATGTTCGTGGAGTTTTTCCCAGTTTTTTATCATAGCGAGTAAAGCTACTATGAGCAGTGCTCACAAGTCTTTTCTGTGGACAAATCTTTTCATTCCTTTGGGGTAATCACCTAGGAGTAGAATTCCTGAGTCATAGGGAAGTTTACATTTAATTTTACAAGAAAAAGCTGAAGTATTTTCCAAAGTGCTTGTCTCATTTTACGCTCTACCAGCAATAATGACATTTTGTTGCTCCGCACCCTTGCCAATACTTGGTGTTGTAAGTCTTTAAAAACTTTTCTCCCATCCCACACGGTTTGTAGTAGTATCTCATTGCGGTTTTAATTCTCATTTCCTCATGACCAAAGTTGGTGAACATCTTTTTGTGTGCTTCTTGGCCATTTGTATATCTTCTTTTTGAAATAGCTGTTAAGTCTTTAGTGTGTTTTCAAATTGGATAGTTTGTCTTATTATTGAGTTGAAAAGTTCCTTATATGTTCTAGATATTAGTCCTTTGTTAGCTGTATTTATTGCAAATATTTTCTCCATGTCCTTTCATTAAAAAAAAAAGCAAGAACCGTGCTTTTAAAATCACTTCACCCTGCTCTGTTTTTCTTTATAGTCGTCCATCAACTGACACATTGAAATATATGTGTTCCTCAATTCTGTCTTCCCTTCTAGAATGTAAATTTCCTGAATGCAGAGTCTTTGTCTCTTTGTTCACTGCTGAATCTTCAGCACCTAGAACACTGTCTGGTACCTAAGAAGTACTGAATCACTATTTCTTTCTTTCTTTCTTTTTTTTTGCTGAGGAAGATTTGTCCTGAGCTAACATCCATGCCTGTCTTCCTGTACTTTTGTATGTGGGCTGTGGCCCCAGCATGGCTGGCGAGTGGTGTAGGTCTGTGACTGGGATACACACCTGCAAACCCCGGGCCGCCGAAGCGTAGTGTGCCAAACTTAAACACTACACCATGGGGCCAGCTCCCGAATAACTATTTCTTCAAGTGGAATGGAGAATGTCCAATCCTGCTTTTCTCAGTGGAATAGTAGAGGCTAACCTGAACATTTATTTTGAGTATATGTACACTTATTTTGTCAATTGATACTCAAAATAAAATGTTGGAATACCTGCCTAGTATAAAAGGATTGGAAAGAATTACCTGGACAGAACCAATGTTAGATTCTTACAGGGTTAAAGAAGAAGCTTCTAGAAAATCATACCCCTTTAGAAAGACCTTAAAAGCTATTGTTTGCAATCACTTTTTTTCCAGCTTGTTGAGCTTTTTAAAAGAGAAGTTGAGACCGTTTCCTCACCGGGAGGTGTACAATGAATGAACAGCCATTATCTGAGCATGCACAGCCTGGAAACTGCAGCCTTGAATAATGACATTCATTGAGAGAAGCTTCTGAGAGTCAGAGAGAGGCTGCCATAAAATGTCTTTATAGGGTTCTCTTGTCTTGACTTAGAATAATTTGATATCAGGATAAAACTCTTAAGTATTAACCCTTTGATCATAATTATATGCTTTTTTTGAAGCTATTGGACAAAGTGCCAGGTATTGTAATACACAAACTGTTAATTTATAAATCCAGCAGTGTCAAAGAATTACGTGGCAGGATATTGTAATTGTTTTTCTAACAGTTTCGCAGAGTGGACCTTGACTGACCCAAGCATGATTTCACCAACTCAGTGAGACCTTGGTAATTGACCTACCCAAACAAGAAATCCACTTACCGTGTTCAGGTTCTGTTCTTGATCTGGTAGGGTTTGTTTAACTTGGCACTCAAGAGCCGGGTTTAGTCTACAGATTGAGTTATGTACAGATTTGCTAAATGTATTAATATATCTGTATATTTACACACACATATAAAATATGCCAACTTTAGAATAACATAAATGTATAATTGTGAAATGATTCTAGTGTTAGTTAAGTACTGATCCCAAAAAGTAGAGCCTGTGCAAAGTCCTTACTCAGATCTAGTAAGATTCCTGTGCTAGATTGCTGTCTGCAGGAATGGCGCCCCCTGGAGCCTATAATGTGAATGGTGCTCAATCTAGTTCCGCAACTTGGCAGCCCTGGGGTTCCTCTCTCTCTTTCATCATTTTTTGACCAACAGTTTGCCAGTCAGTGTCAGTGCTGACAAGTTCCCTGTGGAGTGCTCTCAGACTCTCCATCAGAAAATGCTCAAAGATCAATCTTTAAAGAGCAGATGTGCTTTACCCACACCACGGAGCACGGTAGCTTTTTTCCTACTCCCTTGGCTGTGGATATTCTAAGGACCTCAAGGTACGTGAGGACTGTGAAAGTCCAGTTGGACTTTGCATCATGGCTTCTATGCAGGCTGTTCTGCAATTGCCTGAGGTTCTAAGTGGGAAAAAGCATCTTCCAGACTGCATCCTATCTGGAAGATAGCTCTCCAGTTTTTAGTTGCCATTGCATACTGGTTGTTTCCAATATTTTACTATGGAAGTAAGATTTCTGGCCATTGGCCATAGTTTTTAGCTATTACAGCTATTTAGGAGGTGAGTTATATTTATAAAGCAAGTTAATTTATAAACCAGACCTTCTTCTCTTACTGTTGTACCTTTAGCACCTAGCACAGTGCTTGGCACAAACTCAGTTAATATATTAGTTTAACTGAATTAAAATCGAAATTCTGTAAGCTAGGTAATTAAATAGGTTGTGGCTTATTTGTGTTGGTTTTGCATTAGAAACAATAGATTAAATCGAAATGCTGGATAATTTCTCTTTTCTGGGTTGATTAAAAAAACTAAACAAACACAATTGATGAGTTTGCATTTAATAGAGATCTCTAGGAAATTGGTTTATGTCTTGTCTTAAAGATTTTCTTTCTGACCAGTATGGCTGTTAGATATTAGAAGAGTTCTCTAAATTGTGGAAATCAACTTCTTTGGAAAATCTTCAGGCCAGAAGAGACAATTAATGTTCTCTGAGTGATTGAGGTATTGTCTTAAAATGGTATCAGGGTGAAATTTTTTATTAATAACTAATAAAATAGCTTATTAATAATTGATTTGAATGGCATTTTCAGTTTGACATATGTCATCATATAAAGTATATCATTTGAGCCACACAGCAGTCTCAAAACTGTGTGATGGATTTTCATTCCCATTTTGAAGACGTGTAAAACGGAGGCTCAAAAAGACAAAGTGATTGGTTCAGATTTACCCAGTTGGCAAGTGTTCTAATTTTAAAGCAATATTCTCTCCACTATACCCCGTCATCCATTTTAATGTCATGAATGAAAATAGAATGATTCCTATTAGCAGCCTGTTGATTAATATTTCAGGTGTTGTCCTAGGTGTTTGGGGGCTAGGGGCACAAAGTAGATTAGACCTCCTTCAAGGACTGCAGCATCCCTGGGGGACGCTGATGGTAGAAAGCCGGTTATGGTGCCATGTGATATGTGCCCGGTGGAAGTACGCACAGTTGCTGTGTGGACAAGGACACAGTGTTCAGGAGCCTCTCAAGAGCAGGGCCATGCCGCACTTCTCTTCTGATCTCCCCAGAGCCTTAAGCACACATTGGGTGCTCAGAAAATATTTATTGGATAGATTGATGGCTATATTGATATACAAAAGAATGAGTGGGGTGACTCCTCGATCCCAAGGTAGGTAGAAATTTTGCAGCACATTCTTGGTAGAGGAAGTATTTAGGTCCCTGTGCTATTTGAGGTCACCTATTTTATGAAGCAGCCACATTGGTTAAAGAGATGTCTGTGTTTACAAGGACAATGAGAGGTGGTTTCTTCGTACATCATTTTGCGGTTATTGGAGCCCAATACGTGATCTGAGCCCTGTCCATTTTACTGGGGAGATGCTGTTCCCTGGGGAAATGAAGAGTCCACTTCCATGAGAAAAAAACACTGGAGGTTATTTTTTTTCTCTCTTTTTTCCCCCATGGCCTTGAAATTCCACTACCTTTCTGTTCATATCAAGTGCTGCTCTTGAGAGAGATCTCCATTTCCGAGTGATTCGTTGAGAACATTGAGTGCCAGACCACATGCTAATTAAGGCTTGTCACATACCATAATGGCACCTTAGTAATACACCAATTAACAGTTACTTTAATTACACCACTTACATGAAATTAATGAAGAGCCTAGCTGATGAGAAATAAGAACCTGTACATTTGAGCAACGCAGAACGTTCATCAAGTTTCTGATGAAACAGCCTTTGAGAAATCTGTTCCTCCCCATTGCCTAGTTAAAAAATATTTTCAGGGGGTGGGGGAATGGCTTTTTGTAAAATGAGCTGGCAACAAATGGAGAAAAAGCATTCATTCTTGCTGTGGGAAGGGCTGAGCACACAGCCTTTAATGTCTGAGAGATTGGGTTCAAATCCTACATCTGCCCTTTCTAACTGTGCTCTCAGTAAACTAGGAGTAGAAGGGAATTTCCTCAACCTGACAAAGTATATCTACAAAACACCTACAGCTCATGCTATACTTAATGGTGAAAGACTGGATGCTTTTCCTCTAAAATCAGAAACGAGACAAGGATGTCTCCTCTCATCACTTCTGTTCATCGTCGTACATTGTAGTTTATAGCCAGTGCAATGAGGAAAGAGAAGAAAAAGTCATCCAATTGGAAAGGAAGAAGTAAAACTTTATTTGCAGATGACGTGATCACCTATATGGAAAAGCCGAGGAAATTCACAAAAAAGCTACTAGAAATAATAAGCAAAGTTGCAGGATATAAGATCAATATACAAAAGTCCATTGCATTTCTATATATCTAAGCAAATTTTTAGCCGCTCTGGGTCAGTTTTCTTATCTGTAAAATGGCAACAAATTTATACACTTTATAGAATTACTCTGAAGGTTAAGAAAATGTACGTTCCTAAGACAAGGTTCAATAAATGTTGCTTTATTCTCGTTTTTAGAGCATACCAGATGGAGCCCTCAGTGGGCCTAGCATGGTATCTTCCTCGACAAGCATGAAAGAATAAATGATGCAAAAGGGAAAAGTCACTCCACCCTGGAGTATCATCCAGGGGACCCTCTAAAGCTGGAAATCATGCAGATGGAGCAATTGTTAAGAGAGGTTCTAATCCTATAGCCCAAGCTACCCAAATCTGTTCTCTCTCTCTCATCTCTACCTCCTCCCCTACCCATCCATTCCTGTTTCCTTAGCTCATGCCTGGACTTTTACAACAACCTCCTAAACAGTCTTCCTACTTTGGATCTGACCCCTCTTAAATCCAATCTTTCCATGGCAGCCTGAGTGATGTCTTTAAAATGCAAATCTGATCACCTCATTGTGCTATTTAAACCCTCTTGTGGTTCCCTATTGAACTCAGAGTTAAGCCCAAGCTTCTTAGCCTGGCTTCTGCACAGACACACTAGACACTTTTTAGACTGAACCACTTACAATTTTCCCAAAACACTAAGCATTTTCTTGCTTCCCAGCCTCCTTCAATTTCTTTCTGCTTCCCAAAATTCCTCCAACTTTCCTCTCCACACCTGTCCAGTCCACTCCAACCGTTGCCCAAGAATCTGCTACTTAGGCATCCTTCTAGCCCAATACAAGGTCATCTTGTCTCTGAAGTCTCTTTACACTGCTCTAGGCTGAATGAATGCTAACTCCCCGCTACATCCTTCTATCATGGCACTTATCACATTCTATTGTAATCTTCTATTTACCTGTCTTTGAGCTCTTTAGGACAAGGCCACACCCTATTTGCCTCTGTGTCTCCTGTACGCAGCAGAGGGCTCTGTAAATATTTGCTGAAGATATTTGGAATCCTTCTCTGCTTCCTGACAAGCTCCTTTCGCTCCACCCAGGCCTGACAAATCCTATCTGCTCCTTTCTGCTATGATAACTGTCATTCCTTCCATTTTATCCTATCTCCAAGATTGCTGGCCCAGCGGGAATCCAGCCTCTTTCAGAGGCCCTTCCCAGGATTTTCTCTTCACTGGGTTATTGGTGCCAATTCTGCTGTCTGGGTAGTCCAGGATGGCTTCCTGGTTTCAATCTTTGCTTTGCCTTCTTCTAGCATCGTGTTTTCCAGCCTTGTCTTAGGTGAAAAATCACCCAGGCACACAGATTCCTGGGCCCCTCCCTTGCAGATGCTGGTTCCCCAGGTCTGAGTTGAACCCAGGAATGGAGACAAGCCCTGGATAATTCTTGTCATCAGTCAGGCTTGGGAAATGCTGGTGCCCTTTGGTCTGGGGAGGTCCACTAGTCAGTCCTGAAAAGCAGGGGACTCGTGCATGTGATCCTTCTTTTTTCTCCAGGACTTGCCCTGGCTCTGTTTTCCAAGCATCAGGTGACTCAGATTTCTCCATTTCTGAAATGAGTAAGAGTTCAGTGCTCACAATCTCCACGCTTCTTCTATATCTGGCTGCTCCAGGGGTCTCAGAAATATGGTAAGAGGAGGAACTGACTCCACCTTGGGAGACAGGGGCTCAAAGGGAAGCCCCTCTCATCCCAAATGCCACCAGGAAGATAAACAGAGGTGAATATTGAAGGGAAACACACACACAAACACACACACACACAGAGAAATGAGGAAACACTAGCCTGACTTCTTTTCAAAACATAATGCTAGAAGTTAAGGGACTAGCATAAGTATGAACATATGGGTCAATGAAACAGCAGAATTAGATTGAAACCAGCTCTAGAATCATAAGAATGTAACGTATGCTGCAGTAGGCCTCACAAAGAGGGAGGATCATTCAGTAAATTATGCAGGACAATCTGAAAGCTGTGAAAAAAGAAAACACCCAAAACTTTAGACTCTCATTTCATGTCATACCCCAAAATAAATTTCGGATGGGCTAAAGAATTAAATATAAAAACACAGAACCATAAGAAATCTAGAACATATAAATAACTTCACATTCTGAATGGGGAGACCACCTAAACGTAATGGAAGAAATCATGAGGAGAAAGAGCAGTCAGTCTGAATACATAAAATGTGCATTTAAAAAGACCAACTTTTCTTTTTTTGGTAGCTTGGCCCTGAGCTAACATCTGTTGCCCATCTTTTTTTTTTTTCCTTCTTCTCCCCAAAGCCCCCCGGTACATAGTTGTATATTCTAGCTGTAGGTCCTTCAGGTTGTGCTGTGTGGGACGCCACTTCAGCATGGCTTGATGAGTGGTACCAGGTCCACACCCAGGATCCGAACCAGTGAAACTCTGGGCAGCCGAAGAGGAGCGTGCAAACCCAACCACTAGGCCGTGGGGCTGACCCCTCAAAAATGACCAATATTAAAAGACAAAAAAAGAGAGGAAAAAACCTGTAACCAGTGTAACAAAAGGT